GAGTGTTGATAATAATCAACAGCTTCTACGATGAATTTCCAAGGGCTTTTCCTCTGCCAGGTACCTTATATATATTATGAATTCTCATCACTAATCCCCACTAATGCTATTAGGAGTTTGGGTATGCATATCCTATGAGAATGGAAGGCACAGCAAATTGGCCTTTGCACTCTTCCTGGTAAAGCACAGCATTCTATGACTGGTAAATATATGTACAAATTTTTTTCTAACTAAAATGTTTTGTTTTTAAAAATGGTGATCAAAATTATTTCAACATTTAATTAGGCTGTAGAACTAGCTGCTATTCTGCTAAAAATATATCATGCCATTTATTCCTGCATCAAATGAAGAGAGAGTAGTGGAATCACCACTAAGAAATGAAGCCCTTCTGGAAATATGCAGAGTGAAATATAGCACTCTTCAAGAGCAAAGCTATTCATATAAAAATAAATACGTTTAAATTGGAGTGGGGATCACAAGCTTATTTAGATTTATTTAGCAGTGCTTTCTATAATGAAAGGAAAAACTTAGATTGCAACAGATTCAGTAATTCTTATGAGCCATGCAAGTGTGACAGAATTCAGGCAGTTCTCCAGAGCTCTGTGAATGTCAAATGTAATATAAGACATTTAATACCCTGTTCTTTGGCCAAAAAGACTCCCACAGTGACTTAAAAGATCAATCAAAACCAAGGACAGTCCCTGCCCTTAGGCTTACAATTTAAAAAGACACAACAAAAGAGGAGAAAGTGACGGGGAGAGAAAACAGAAACTAAGAAAACTTAAGACACCTATTCTTAATGTTGTACAAAATTCTTATATGAACAGCTGTAATGGGAGAATAGGTTAGTTATCTATAACTATGGTTCTTTGAGTGGTCATCTGTGTATTGCTGCATAGCATTTCTAATCTGTGTGGGTTGTAGAGACCACAAAGAAGAATTTAGTCTTATGACCAGCCTGAAGTGGTCTAAGATCCAAAAATGGGTAATTTTTCAACGGAGTCAGTGATGCGACACTACTAATTCTTATCTCTTCTTTTGCTGCAGCCTGATAAAATGACTGCTCAACAAAGGATGGGGAAGAGGCAACCCTTGTTTTGCCCTACTTGGCTTCTCAGCAGAGCTGATGATGGCCCAACTTTACTTTTCTGCTACAGTCTAAACAAATGGCTCACAGACAGAAAAGAGCTATAGGTGCCACACATAAAAGTCTACCTAGAATATGGCTTTCTTTTTACTAGTAGTTGAAAAAAGGGCCCTAAATCCAGCTGGTGGCAGCAGTGAAATTAAAAGGGAGTACAGTGGTACCTCTACTTACAAAATTAATTCGTTCCACAGCCCATTTCGTAAGTAGAAAATTTCGTAAG